CTGATAACTGACAATAATAAAACTAATAATTGATATCAATGTAAATATCAAGTGCAAAAATATATTTAAGCAAATTTTTTTTGGTTAGTCATTGATGATGACTAAAAAATCATTGATGATGACCAGATTAAAGGTGGAAATGTTTGATTAAATTTTATTGTAATTTTTGGGTGTCACTGGCGAGCATAATAAACAAAATAAAAAACAGCTATTATAATTGTATATTGAGAAATGGGTTCTCTCTCGGCTCCTTTATTCTATGGCTACGTTTACACCGTACGTTTAGTCCCTATACACCAAATTCGACCTAATTTAGGTCACATTATTTAGGTGGCACGCTGTAAACACTACTATACCTGCCCGACCTGTTGTAGGTCAGGCCGGATTTTTTATCGCCCTCACCTAAAATAGGTCGTCTACTTTCTCGGTGTAAACGCGCGACTGAACCGACCTAAAAGCTTCGTAGCCATTTGCTCGGTAGGATAAAATGCTGTTTTGTTGAATAGTTAGGTTAAACCGGTTTGTTATTTACTTCTAGACTGTGAAAAGACTAATTGATTTGTGCAAAGAACATAAATATTTAAAAAAAAGATGGAAAAAAGTTCATGCAGCGATTCAAGTTCATAAGTACCAATGCCTTTGCTAATTAAAATAATACAAATAATGGTAATTATTTAGAATACGGGCTTCATCTCCGATTTTGATGAAATTGGGCTCATTCGACGCGTTTTCACTTAAAATGAAAGAATCTGGCAAAAATGCGGCGGTCGGTCTCGCGAACCGAGATATTAAGCATTAAAGTTCGAGATTTTAGAGGTTAAGATATCTGTCATCCCGACTCAATATAGCGCTATGTATATGTTCTGGCGAGTACAATACTGTATATGGAAATAATCTGTACAAAATACGATAGATGGCTCTAATTCGGACCAGCGTGGACTAAATGTGACCCAACCAATTTTTAAGTCCCTTTCGGTGTAAACGGTTGGTAACTAGACCTACTTTGGGTCACGATATAGGTCAAGTCGCTATCAGTCGTACGGTGTAAACGTAGCCTATGACTCTCAGACAGACCTGAATCAGGCGGAGCCCTGGCGCCTATCCTTTGTTATTTTCGCTCCGTCTCGCTCTACCGAGATGACGAAGAGGGGGAAGCGTTTTCGACTCACGAGCAAAGTGTTGGACGGGCCTGCTATATGTTATATGACTGTTTCCCTATTGTTTAGCTCGATTCGCCATTAAATTGTAATAGACATCCCACCGCGCCGAAATAACCCTGAAATTAAGATATAATGTCTTATGATATCTAAATGACATTTTAAAATATGAATTTTCAGTTAAATTTTTACTTCATGTTCCAAAAACAGGGCTTTCAAAGTTCCTTTAGACCAATAATCCATAGCATAGGCCAACAACTTCATTGATATGGGATTTACCCTGAGAAAATTTCCTACAAATACAACCTAAAAACGAAAATTGTTATGCATGATCACTTTATAATATTATATATAACACATTATATATTTTTATTACCCTTTCAATTTTTTCATTAACAGCACACATACGGGCGATAGAACCGATATTATTTGTGATAGTAACAAGAGTTGCACGCGCCAGATCTTCCTTCGTGACAGTATTTCTACGATCTTTGGAATTCATTTGTCCAAAACTAAAAATAATAAAAAAAAGGGATACAAAATAAGAATCAAAATAAAGAAATTACATCTTAGAATAGGAATTAATAACTGTTTTACAATTGTACATACCTGCTCGCAACTAAATCTCCGGGAAGACCGTAAGGACTATAATCACTGCCATATATATCTTTAACCAATTTATCCACTCTTGTATTATCGCCTCCTGTTGCTAGTTCTATTGCTTCTTCAAAAGTATTACATCCAGTAAGAAGACAACATAATCCCAAGAATGTACCGCCACCTAAGCTATAATTAAGAATGTTATTACTGATATTACTTAATAATAAATATCTTAAAACTACAAAATACAATATACATGCAATTCACCTTGTTCCACATATTCTTTTATAATTTTCTGGTCCATATACAGCTAGTATGCTTACTCCGGAGCCTATATTAACAAGCTGCAGAAAATAATCAATCAGTAATTCCATCAATTAAAAACACACAATAAAAAAATATTTTTATATACTCTTACCAAGAATGGATATGGTTCAGAAAAGTCATAGGGTACTTTTTGGCATTTGCTGTCATCGGTAGGATTCGACCAATAATAGCATTCATGTGGATTCGTGGTCTCTATGTAGAGCATCCCGCGTATTAAACTATCTAATTCATCAAATTTGGTCAAATTCATGTTTACTTCCTGCCAAAGATATTTCATTATTTTAATAATTATCATGTTGCAATTACAATAAGGCAAAGACAAAGATAGATAATTTTCCAAACCTTTTTAAAATTATCTTCGAATTTAAAAGCACCGCCCCCAGTAACACAAACAGTTGTCACAAGATTTGCCATATCTTTTGATTTTGCTAATGCTAAAAAATTTCCCATTTTACTTGTCGGAAATCTAATAAAATGTAAGGTTCCTCGTCTGCCTCTAATACAGACGTTATCCATCTGAAACAATCGTCGAAATAATTATCAATTGACGTAAAGAAATCAGATCATGCAATGATCGAGCCAATTAAGGGAATGCTGGAGCCGCCTGTATTACCGATAAAACTAGCGTTTTTGATGTTTTTGTTCCTGTTGAATTTCTTCGTAATGGTTTCACAGAATAAAAATTTCTTTTTCACGATTAAAACGTACACGCTAATGTATTTGTCGCTAGTGTATTTTGTGTTCAAAGCTAAAAAAAAAATAAAAAAATACAAATTTCTTTATTTATTTTACCTTCAGCGTTGGTCGCTGTACTGACAAGGGAACGGTCAGAACTATCCCTCACCGATTTGATGCGCTTTGAAAATGTTGAACATCAAAAAATATTCGATCCATATTTTTTTATAGCGGCTTATCTCGAGGTTTAGGGGGTGAAACACCCCCTTGAAGAAATTAGATTTTTCCGTTTTCTTGCTCTTTATTTTTGTTCTTAAAAATTTTTTTTAATTTTGCAACCCTGATAAGTGGGGGTGGGGGTTAATTGAAAAATTTGATTTAAAAAAAAAAATGAATACACTATTATATACAGCATAAAATACTGTAAAACTATTGTATAAACCATTTTTTTATACGCGGTATAGTTTCGAAGATATTTGCTGAAAACGAAAAAATCCATTTTCTTCAAGGTGTTTCACCTTCTAAACCTCGAGATAAGCCACTATAAAAAAATATGGGTCGAATATTTTTTGATGCTCTACAACATATCCAAAGCGCATCAAAATCGGTGAGGGACAGTTCTGACCGTTCCCTTGTGAGATAAAAATGGATAAAGAAATCTGTAATTTTCCAATTTTGAACACAAAATACACCAGCGACAAATACATTAGCATGTATATTTTAATCATGGAAAAGGAATTTTTATTCTGTAAAACCATTACGAAAAAATTCAACAGGAACAAAAACATTAAAAACGCTAGTTTTATCGGTAATACAGGCTCCAGCATCCCCTTAAGATGTATAAGTTAGGTACAATTAAAACATTTATTATGTAAAATCAAAAGAAAGTACTTTTCTTGATCAAGGGTCACTTCTTCAGCAAAAACATTAATAATTAATTATGTCGTTAATATCTGGAGATACGGTAGTCTCGGCGCTAAGCCAAGCGCAGCGAGGCATTGTTGTGTCCCCTTTACGCGAATCATCAAGATTTTCCAGACCGCGATTATGAGATCTCAATAACGGCTGTCCCGATTGAGTTCTAAGTATACTCAATCAATTGCATCCGCTCAAAATATATAATGAAAGTATTTTTATTTTTTTTCTACGTGCCCTACGAGCGGAGATATTGCGACGCAAAGTCTAAATCTGAAACTTTTCATTTTTAATAAGATTTTTATTTTGTTAAGAAGCGTCATCGTCGCCGCTAAGGAGTGGGGAAATGTTCTTTTGGAATTTTTGGCGCAAGATGCAAATGTGACGCTAGCAATACATGGTCAGCTAAAGTCACTAGATAACAAAGTACCGCGATGGGAAGTGACGTATTTTTGGAGCCAAAATGACGTTGAGTGCAAATATTGCATTTAGTGTAATGTATCTATATAATAAGTGCAATCCAAAATGCAATCCTAACTTGATTATATTCATACATAAGTTTGAAATAATCGCGTCATGGAGCCAAAATGGCGGCAGTTCGCGGTACTTTGTTAATCTAGTGATTTTAATGGTCAGCGAGTGTTGCGTTCTGTACTATTCTGCACATTTTACACATTCTACATTTTGTAGAGATATGTACAAGTGAGGTTACGGTACGTCACGCGATCGCGGAGGAGTTGAATTGTTGAATGCGTTGAATGAATGCAATATAATACCCCGGTTACCTCAAAATATTGATAAAAATACTTTCAGTCGATAACTACATGATCAGCGAGCGCTGCGATCTATACGGTAGTGTTTCGGTTGGTTCAAAAGGATCGGTAAAATCGTTCTAAGTGTCTCGGTAATAATAAACAATAATCCTCATTTTCGATATTTATAAAATTCGATTCATTCAATGCATTTTTGCATAAAATGAACGAATCTGTCAAAAAAGGTGCCACTTTGCCCCATGGATCGAGGAATCAATCATTAAAGTTGACGACTATTTAGGTTAGGATTAGGAAATCTCACATCGATGGCATAAAGGGACATGAGAACATGTGAGGCTAGAATATGTATTTTCTACTTCAAAAAAATACACAAATTCTCTGCTTTAAAACACATTTTCTGCTTCAAGAATACAAATTATTTTCTATATAATTTTTGGTGGAACTCTAGGGGGCTACCCAGAATTCTCGACAGAACTGTTATACATATATAATTATTGAATATAAATTTGTTAATTTACATACATTTTTTTTATATATAACAGTATGACCGCGAAATGTGTCAAAAATTATAAATACAGCTACATTTTTTAATTAATATTTCTGACCCGAATGAAATCCAGCATTAAATACTCGGGGTTTTTATCTCTATAAAGCTGGCAGGACCAAATCAGCAAAATCGAATCGAACCTATTAAACCTTTTTGAATCTATTGGTACTCATTTTATACTAATTTGTACTCTCAATAAAATTTTGTATCCTGTGCTGTTTTGAAAAAAGAAAACGTTGCGCTGTTAGCTTAACATTAAACTGGCAGGACTAATTCAAAATAAAAGAAAAAAAGAATAAGAATATCGGAAATCAATAGGATCAAATTTGTACTAATTTGTACTACGAAAAAAAATTTTATATTATGTCTAATTTCTAAGAAAACCTGTAGTTTAATGTTTAAGCTGGCAAGACTATAAAAAAAAACAACTCAAGGACAAAAATGAATTTGTACTAATTTGTATCACTGAAATTAAGTTAATATTTTATATTTTTTTCTCCTTACAATGACTTTGTTAGTATATATTCTTACAACCTATTTATTAGTGACCTCAATAACAAAACCTATATAAATTTGTGGTACTCGACTTTAATAAAAATATTTGTTTAATGAGCATTAAATTAAGTCAAGCATTTTTTTAAGTCAAGTGTCGAGTTTCAGAAAGGTGGTCTAATGATGATTGGGAGATTAAAAATAATTATACAATTTATAAATGTTATAAAATAACTACAATTATTTTGTAAGGAGAAAAAAATATAAACTATTAACTCTTACTTTCAATGATACAAGTTAGTGCAAATTCAGTTTTGCTCATTTTTGTCCTTATGTTGTTTTTGTATGGCTCTGCCAGCTTAAATATTAAACTATCAGCATCACTGTTTTCTTGGAAATGATACATAATATAGAATTTTTTTTTGGTAGTACAAATTAGTACAAATTCGATACTATTGATTCCTGATATTTTTTTCTTTTATTTTGTATTGGTCCTGCCAGCTTAATGTTAAGCTAACAGCGCTACGTCTTTTTTTTTTCAAAATAGCACAGCATACAAAATTTTTATTAGACGTACGAATGAATACAAAATGAGTACTAAAAATTCCAATAGGTCCGATTTGATTCTATTGATTTGGTCTTGCTAGCTTTATAGAGCTGGGGTTTTTAATCTATTATCCCAATTTAAAATTTATTACTTTAAAACGCGTTTCATGCCTACAAATATATGTTTAAAAGATGTATCATAGGAGGTAGATAAGAAGGGATTAAATAATTGGAATTAGTAGCAACACGTTTGTTTAACACGATATTAACTTGTAACGATATGTGTATGAGCCATTTTCATAACAATTCGATGCAAAGTTTATCAGTACACATTATTTCAAAGTATTTTGTAATACATTTTAATATTATTTAATTCAACTTCCTAGCTATGGAAAATGATAAATGAATAAATTTTTTTAAATGAATATAAAATGTTTGAAATGAAAGTTGCATGGTTTCAGAAGTACTTTACAATAAAAAAAGGAAAAAAATTTAAAAACATTTTTAAATTTATTCTCACCACTTGACTCTTCTTTTTTAATTTTGATTTTTTTTTAATAATAATAAGAAATATTATTATAAGATGAATTAAATCGTGTGTGATAAAGATATTTTCCAAAGTACCATTTTTGAAAAATAATTAAAAACATCTCTATACGTTCGCCATCCACACTCGATTCTTAACGCACGTATTGAGATGTTTTTAATTATTTCTCAAAAATGATACATTGGAAAATAACTTTATCATACACGATTGAATTCATCTTAAAATATTTTTCATTATCATAAAAAAAATCAAAATTATAAAAGAAGAGTCAAGTGGTGAGAATAAACAAATTAAAAAAAAATTTTTTTAATTTTTTATTGTAAAATATTTCTGAAACCATTTCATGCAACTATCATTTCAAACATTTTTTACCATTACAGTTTCAGGAAATCATTACAGGAAATATCTGCTTCGAAAGAGAAAAACTGATTTACTTCAAAGGGGTATTACCCCCATAAAGGGCAAACGAGCACATACAAAAATCGCAAAATGTCGAAAATTCTAATGACAAAAATCCGTAGAATTTGAATTGAAAAAGTTACGAGCGATTATATGTGTCTATTTTCTAATTTAGAAGAGCAAAGAATTTTTTGAAGAGTTTTGACAGTTCTATCGAGAGTTCTGGGTAGCCCCCGCAGAGTTCTATAAAATATCTTAATGAAAAAATTGTGTAAATATGATACTTTCAAAGTTATGGCTGTTTTTTTTGGTGTCAATTTCGGGTTTTTCAATGATGTTTTTTTTTTACTTTCTTGAACGGAACTATTTCTTAAACCTATCAGGAAGTCTGGAACTATTCAAAATCAATCGAGAACTCTAAAAAAAATGATTTTTTTCGAAAATGGGGAGCTGCGTGAAGTTAGCTCCCCATTTTTTTAATCGCGTTTTTATGGCTTTATATAATGGCCAGAACTATTTCTTAAATCTATCAGGAACTCTGGAATTATTGGAAATCTATTCAGAACTCTCAAAAAACATTATTTTTTTTAATAATGGGGCTAACTTCACAGGGGTGTGGACTTGTGCATCGACAACTCTTTATGAGAGACCAACAAATTATTTACAACTCTAGTGCGACGAAGAGCAAAAGAAAAATCTGTAAATTATTATATCTTATATATACGAGTATATCTTATTGAAGAATCTTCCTATTCCAATCCAAATGGTTTAAATTCCTCTTAAATGAAATTATTATATCACAATTCATTCAAAGACATTTTCTATTCCAACTAAAGTAGTGGTTACTTAATTCTCCTTCAAAACATTATACAAAACATTATCACAAAATTACGTTATCTTGCTCCATTTAAGTGTTACCACAAAAAATTAAAGAATTAACCGTATAAAATGAAAAAAATTTAATTTGAGAGAGAGAGAGAGAGAGAATAGAAAAATTTTTCATGTAAAAACACTTGGCGCTGCTAGATCTCGATATAATAACATAATAGTAAAACATGAATGTAAATAAGAAAATAAGAATATAATACTTAGAAAACCTGATTTCTTTACGTTTTGCTATTGCTTGATACGAACGAAATCTATACTTTTAATTATCAACAGGTTTATATAATTAATAAATTGTAGAAAGTACATGTTAAATATTTAATAATGTTTACTTGTAAATGCATATCACGATGGCCAATTTTTCCATATACCGAATTTTTAGTGAGATATCGACGAATATTTTTTAATGTCTCAACTTCTGCGTCCGCTTCATCTCTCGTTATATCCTTTGGCTCAAAGTACACTAATTTGCTTAATGTACCACCTATATCCATTCCAAACCAAGGCATTGCTGCAACAATAACGTTACGATTAGTATTCTACGATTAGTATTTTATCTTGTAATTTATGCAAAAATATATTAAAAAAACATGTTTATAAAAAAATGCAATGATAAATATATATTTACTCAAAATTTAAAAAAAGCATAATTTTGCAAAAATGGTAAGATTAAATTTTTAGAAATGTGATTATTAATAATGGCACGTCATACAGAAAATTATGGTAATAAAATATAAAAATATATACAGTAAGAGAAAATTTATCTAATATTACAAGTATTCTTTTAGATGACAATCAAGCGAATTAAAGATAACATTCTTGTCGCAAGCATCATCTACTTGGTTACGAATATTATTTAGCTCAACAAAATTTAACATTTGATACTTTTTACAGAAAGCTAAGCAGTGATGTTTAAACCCGTAAGCGTAAATATCCATACGATAAAATAATTATCGTATATAACTCTTCATAGTTAGATACAGTATATAGACGCAGTATTCCCAATGCATATAATCATTCAAATACAATATTCATAATATTAGACACGGTATAGATACAGACAATAATAATAGACACAGTATTAGCATTTTATATGTATATAGTCTTTTCCAGATATAATATTCAGTTTCATTAGTTTCGACTTCTATTCTTAACTAAAAGTTGGTAATAAAATGAACTAATAAACTGATAACAATTAATAGTCAGCCTTTCAGTCAGCCTAATCAGTTAAAATAAATTTGAATAAAGATTAAAATTATCGATATAATTATATTTGCAAATAGTTATATAATATAAAGCATTGAAAATACTGCAAGTATATATTGTATCGCGTGTACATTACACTCATCAGTTTGAATTGATTTAGATCATTGCTTAGTTATTTACATTATATAGTCAATCATTTCATTTTCATACACAAAAATTTGAAAAAATTATAATCATGACGCAAGGTATAAAGTACGAAACACATTTGCAAACGATGCAGCAAACAATATAGTATAATAAAAAGTAAAAAATTGACAATCCAAGCATACATACAATCCACTGTCTCACAAGGAGATGAGTGATTCCTTGCTTCTTTGGCCATGATATGGGCAGCAGAGTATTCGTTAGACTGCATGTCTGTTGGAGTTAAATTGTTCTCATTGCTTTGCGGACTCATTGCTCAGAATAGAATAGTTCACTGCAGATCCCCCTGTTATGATAAATAATGTATTTGCTGAAAAAGATACATACATTTAAAAACAATTTTGTAAGTACAATTTCAAACGAAACAATATCTCGTGTGTCTATCTTTATGACATTATGTTGAAAACATTATTGCAAATACAATTCATATGATTTCTCTCAATCAATTTTTTCTTCATAATCCAATTGTGGAGAACATTTAAAACTTTAAACCGTTTACATGCAAAGAATTATTTTCAAGCCAAAAGTCAAAGATCATCTTTTTTATTTACGCACATAATACGTGAAATACACGTGACACGAAACGCAAGAATACATCTTCAAAAGAACATTGTAATGCACCAACTACTTTACGATGCTCTATTGACAGTCAGTCGTGTCGTCGTCGCCCTGACGTCAAACGTCACATCGGACGTCACATTAAACATCACGTAGACCTTAAAATATAATAAGCTATTTATTAAATAATTCTATATAAGAAAAATAATGAAGAGATTTAAAAACGAGAATGAGGTGGAAATTAATTATACTTCTAATATATTGTGATTGTAATTTTAATGTTATTAATTATAGTTGTATTTTTAATGTTAATTAAACAGTAAACTTCATTCGTATTTTATTAATCCACCTCATTCTCTTTTTTAAATCTCTTCATTATTTTTCTTATTCAGAATTATTTAATAAATAGCTTATTATAATATATTTTAAGGTCTAGCAGCGCCAAGTTTTTTTACATAACAAATTTTGTTATTTTAATAAAGTTTTCTCATTTTGGGCTGTTTTGTCCTTAATAAAAATGTGTTACTGTTAATTTTTTTAATTCTTTGTGGTAACATTTAAATTGAGGAAAGTAATGCAATTTTGCGATATAATAATATTTTGAAGGAGAATTATAAATAACTATTTACTACTACTTTAGTTCGAAGAAAGAATGTCTTTAAATGGAGATTGTGATATAATTTTTTTAAAGAAAAATTAAACCCTTGGATAAAAAATTAAACACTTGAATTAGGAATACAAAGATATATACTTAGGTTTTATTGTATATAAAAATTTTTATACAAATCATTAAAATAAAGTAAATAGTAAAAGTTATTAAAATAAAGTAAATAGTAAAGATAGTATCACTTGGACTTTTTTCATACAAATGATACATATTAAAATTAAATAAATAATAATAGTTATCATAGGATTTTTAAAGATAGTACTACTTGGGTTTTACTTTTTAATTAGGTAGAATTTAATTTATAAAAGTTTTACAGATTAAGAAATGAAAATAAAATTATTTAAATAAATAAAATTGGGTTAAAATAAAAATTTGATTAAAATGAAATTTGATGTACCTTAAGACAGTTAGCCTCGAATCTTCCGTGCTACGTAAAACTTGCTTCCACAAATAACAAAAACGAAACTGATGTGATCTCTGACAAGTCGAAACCTATATATACTATATATGTATATGCCCAACTCTGTATTCTACCTCCATACATTTTAAAACACTACAATTATCAATAGCGACAATAGACTGCATGCAGGCTCTCTTTCACGTACAAAAAAAGAAGAAAACAACCTTCGAAGTAAATTTTTTGAGAATTTTCTTCATTTTAACACTGCGTACTACAAAAGAAAGGAAAATCTTTTCTTTTCAGGAAATTTCTTAAAAATCGAACAAAAGAATCCTAGCATGTGTAACTGAAGATAAATATCCTTGAAAAAGTTCAGTTACACAAGAATTTTACAATAGAATATCGTCGATGTTTCAGAAGAATAAAGTTATTATTATCAAAAATATTAAGACTAGCAAGAAAAGATAATTTATGTATAATTAAAAAACAAAGTATAGATGTGTTTATTACATAATTATTATTTGTTACATCGACGAATAATAAGAAATGATTCGCAACTGTAATAACTATCGATTCGTTTTTTTATTAAATTATCACATAAATCATTTTTTGTTCTAATAACAAACTCATTTTTCTCAGTGTGTATTTTCGTATAAATGTACAAACCACTTTTCGAATTCAATTTAGAAATGTATTTATATTACCACTATGATACTAGCCCTATAATATTAAATCTTTTATTGCGCCATTCTTATCGCAATCTTAAGGCTCGTGACAAGTTGCCATGACCATGTTGGAACTGTGACATAAGTGAGAAATGATGTTGAAATTTCTTGCGTGTCATTTGTAAATAAAGAAAATTTGGATAAAACAAAATAATAAGATCGCTTTAAACACATAAAAAATGCAATAGATATAAAAGTTATATATTCTTATATCCTCTCTCTCCCGTATCAATAAACAGTCACAAAAGGCACATGAAGTGAAAATAAGCATCGTCTTCATGTGTCTAACGATCGACGTTCTATAAACAAAAATCTTCTCAGGAAAAGATGTTTTACGTATAATTATATAAAATTATATAAAAATATATATAATTTCATATAATTGTTAATATGGCTCAATTAGAATAAATCAATAAATAAAAGAAGCGCAACGAGCCAATTATAATGTAAGATATTTAATAATCATATATAT